CCTCAGGGGCCATTCTCTCCCCTCTCTTGTTTAACATCTCTATGCGACCACTTGCTCAGCTGGCTCAAGGTTTTGGGCTGGAGTGTTCCCAGTACGCTGATGACACTCAGCTGGTGCTGAAGATGGAAGGCCAGCCGGACTCTGTACCTGATTGTTTCCGTCAGTGCCTCATTGAGGCCGTGACTGGGTGGCTGCGTGCCAGCAGGTTGAGGGTGAATCCAGCAAAGACGGAGATCCTATGGCTGGGTCCACTGGGCAGTGGGGACATCCAGCTGCCTACCCTGGATGGCGAGGCGCTATGCCCGTCCTCGTTGGTCAAGAGTCTGGGAGTCCTTTTGGACCCTCTGCTGACAATGGAGGCCCAGGTCTCTCTCCGCCGTGAGCAGAACCGCCTTCTTTCTTTCACCTGCGGCAGGCTAGACGGCTGGCCCCCTCCCTGTCCAGGGACGACCTAGCTACGGTGATCCAGGCCACGGTCATCTCAAGACTGGACTACTGTAACGCCCTCTACATTGGCCTTCCTCTGTCGGTGATCCGGAAGCTCAAGTTGGTACAAAATGCAGCTGCTCGGCTTCTTGCGGGAATTCCGATGAGATGCCACATCACCCCAATCTTCCTGCAGCTGCATTGGTTACCCATTGAGCACCGGATCACTTTCAAAGGGATGGGACTCACCTTGAAGGCCTGGCATGGTCTGGGGCCAATGTACCTGAGGGACCGCCTCACCCCCTCCCAACCCCAGAGATCCCTCCGTTCTGAGGACCAAGATCTATTGGAAGTCCCCAGTGTCAAGACCTTGCGTCTAACAGCAACCAGACGCAGAGCCTTCACAGCAGTGGCACCATCACTCTGGAATACTCTGCCACCTGAAGTCCGTGCCTTGCGGGACTTACCAGCTTTCCGCAGGGCATGTAAGACATACCTGTTTCGACAGGCTTTTAATGTTTGATATTGCTGTTTTTAAATTGTTTTAAATTGTTTTAGCCATTCTTGTACGCCGCTCCGAGCCCCAGGGGAGTGGCGGCATAGACGTTAGAAATTATAAATAAATAAATAAATAAATAAAATGTCACTACGTCCAGCAGCCAGATTACTAACGGGAGCGGGGAACAGGGAGAGCATTATTTTTAAATCTTAAATTATTACATTTGGCCCAGCCATAGGTTTTTAAATGCTTGTATGTTATTGTTCATTGTTATTGTTTGTTTTTGTTTTGAGATTTATTTTACTGTTTTGTATTATTTTGTTACTGCCTTCGTTTTGTTGATGTACTGCGGGCTTGGCCTCATGTAAGCCGCACCGAGTCCCTTGGGGAGATGGTAACGGGGTACAAATAAAGAATGATGATGATGATGATGATGATGATGATGATGATGATTTGTTGCGCCAGCTCCACTGGCTGCCAATTCGCTTCCTCCCAAAACCGATCACTTGGGATGATCTGTGTGTACAGGTGGTCACTCAAGATCTGAGTTGGGATGTGAGGAGGCAGGCGATCGAGACAGGAAATGCTTTTGCAACCTTAACCCCATTCTATGCTAACTATATTGTAAGACCTTTTCCTTTGCAAATGTTGATTTAAACTCTTAATAAATTGCAGTGCAGCAAATCACACGCATAGAATCTTAGGGCATCGTCCCCTTTGTCTGTGATCAGGGGTGTTTTTCGTTGGGCAGGTGTTGAAGTACTTCTTGCCGGGAATTGGGCTCTTATCCATCGGGCCACTCCTTCTCCCCCTCCAGCCCCCTTTGCCCTGCATTTGTAACAGCACTAAGCTATTGTTCTTCATACCCAATGGGATATTTTTATGTTAACTCATTTTCCTCTCATCTGTCTGGCAGGTAGTCTCTGAACAAATCTTGTGAAGAACACCTTGTGAGAGCTAAGCCCTAGGGATGCTCTAGGTCAGAAATGACTTGAAGCTACACAGCACTGACAAGCACAAGAAATATGTAGGAGAAAGATATATTTCAAGATACATATCTGTGTAATCAAAGAGGCAAGGGAGGATTGTACTGTTAAAAGAAGGGCTTGCAAAAGAGACCGGAAGATTACAACAATACAAAGACCGAGAAGAAGAAATCTTATGCTGTTTACGAGTAAATATTTATGAATTGCTGGCATAATATTTGAATCATAAATATAAAAGAATGGAAAATCTTCTCCATCCCTGTTCCCTATCACAGCTACATAAGTGCATGGAGTGTGGGAAATGTTTCATTACGAGAAGTTATCTAACTAGACATCAACAAATTCACACAGGAGAGAAGCCGTATGAATGCATGGAATGTGGAAAGAGCTTCAGTCAGAGTGGACATCTGCATTCCCATCAAAGAATCCACACAGGGGAGAAGCCATATCAATGTGTGGAATGTGGAAGGAGCTTCAGTCGGAGCGACAGTTTGCGTTCCCACCAAAGGACCCACACAGGGGAGAAGCCATATCAATGTGTGGAATGTGGAGTGAGCTTCAGTCGAAGTGACACTTTGCATTCCCACCAAAGGACCCACACAGGGGAGAAGCCATACCAATGCATGGAATGTGGAAAGAGCTTCAGTCTGAGTGGAGACCTCCGTTCCCATCAAAGGACCCACACAGAGGAGAAGCCATTTCAGTGTGTGGAATGTGGAAAGAGCTTCAGTCTGAGTGGACATCTGCGTTCCCATCAAAGGACCCACACAGGGGAGAAGCCACATAAATGCATGGAATGTGGAAAGAATTTCAGTAACAGTGGGACTTTGCGTTCCCACCAAAGGACACACACAGGGGAGAAGCCATATCAATGCGTGGAATGTGGAAAGAGCTTTAGTCTGAGTGGAGATCTCCGTTCCCACCAAAGGACCCACACAGGGGAGAAGCCATATCGGTGCGTGCAATGTGGAAAGAGCTTCAGTCAAAGTGGACATCTCCATTCCCATCAAAGGACCCACACAGGTGAAAAGCGAAATAAATGCATGGAATGTGGGAAAAGCTTCAGTCATAATGGGTCCCTGCGTTTCCATCAAAGGACCCACACAGGGGAGAAGCCGTATCAGTGCATGGAATGTGGAAAGAGCTTCAGTCAAAGTGGGCATCTCCTTTCCCACAAAAGGACACACACAGGGGAGAAGCCATATCAATGCATGGAATGTGGAAGGAGCTTCAGTCGGAGTGGGTCCCTGCATCGCCACCAAAGGACCCACACAGGGGAGAAGCCACATCCGTGCATGGAATGTGGAAAGAGCTTCAAAGAAAGTTTGACATGCATTAAGCATGAAAGAACGTACACACGGCTAGAGGAGGAGAACTAGGAAACTCAGGTGCCCGGAAAGGGTCCCATCTCTGTGCAGGTGGTGAAGAATGGGAGAAGGGAACAACAGAGGGAGAGGTGCCGCTTGCGGGCAGCCGTTTATGTTCCCTGGCTTGTGGGAGCAGGTCTCCCTCAAAGGACTCTTTTCAATATTAAACCAACAACCTCCCCCTCAAGGCACGATCTGTGAAGGCCTTCTGACACGAGCAGGAGCTGAGATCCCATGATAAAAGGGGTCTGGAAAAAATAGCTCTTTGGGAGCAGGTAACGGCACCTCTTTGCACTGGATCTTGGCTCTGCTTCTCCTTGGTTAGAATTCTGGGCTGTGGCCTTGTTCCTGTCACCTTCTTCTGGACTCTGTTGTGTCCTGAATCCTTGACTCTCAATTATTGATTGACTTCCCCGCTTGATTTATGGATGTGGACTTCAGTTTGTATCCCTCACTAAACGCCTTGACTTTGGGACTCTGACTTTGGGACGTGCTTTGTTGCCGCCTCCTGAACAATGTTGCAGACTTCTGTCCATAGTTCTTCTGTCCATAGTTCTTCTGATACTCTATTTATTTAACCGAGCCCCTTAAACCTATTTTGCACTTCCACTGCATATTCAGTAGGAATGTTAGTGAGAGCATATCTAACCGGTCTGTGTGTTTTCCCTAATCTCTTTAGTCTGATTCTGAACTGCGTAATAACAAGTTTGAGATCTGAACTACAATCAGCTCCAGGCCTTGTTTTCACTGACTGGGTGGATGTCTGCCACATTTGGCTGCAAAGGATGTAGGACGGATAGTAATCCAAAGGTGGGAGTTGTCGTTCAGTGACATCTGGGGACACAAAACAAAAGGGCCCCAAGCACAATGGCTTCAAACTTCAGGAAAGGAGATTCCACCTGAACATGAGGAAGAACTTCCTGACTGTGTGAGAGAGCTGTTCAACAGTGGAACTCTCTGCCCCGGAGAGAGTGTTGTGGAGGCTTCCTCTTTGGAAGCTTTTCAACGGAGGCTGGGTGGCCATCTGTTGGGGGCGCTTTGAGGGGGGTGGAGAAGGGCAGGGTAGAAATGCATGAAACAAATAAAAATAAATAAAAACCAAGAAGGCAAAATGGTTTTCTGCTGAGACACCGGAAGTCGCCCCAGAAAGAAGGAAAGCCAAAGGAAGCAGTGATGGGGGAAGTTAGGCCCATTTGAAAGCACAATTCCAGAGGTAGCCGGAAGAGATAAGGAACTATTGTTAAACAAGCAATGCACGGAAGTGGAAGAAGGCAATATAATAATAGGAAGGTCAAGAGACCTCTTCCAGAAAATTAGAAACATTGGAGGTAAATTCAGGCAAAATGGGCCTGATCAAAAACAAAGATGGCAAGGACCTAGGATCATAGAGTCCTAGAGTGGGAAGAGACCTGGTGGGCCGTCATCCAGTCCAACCCCCTTCTGGCAAGAAGCAGGAAAATTGCATTCAAAGCACCCCCGACAGATGGCCACCCAGCCTCCCTTGGGGAACAAGGCTCGACGGGTTCAGGTGTCAAACGGCCTCTTGCCTGGTTTGCACCCCCTTTGCCACCTGGAGAGAAAAGAGAGAAAAGAGAAGCACGGGAACCGCAGAAGAAACACAATACAATCATATCACAAGGCAAGCCACTGGGTGGCTCTGAGTTGGTCCGGGCTGCCTGGCCATGTTCCAGGAGCAGCATCCTCTCCTGACGCTTTGCCCACATTTCAGGCAGGCAGGCAGGCACCCTCAGAGGCTGGAGGTCTCAGGCCCTTCCTTTCCCCCTCGGCCATCTCTGGCTAAAGGCACCTCGGAGGTTGTGAGCCTCGGGCCTCTTCCTTTTCCCCCTCGGCCGCTTAAGTGGAAAAGGCCTGAGGCGCACAACCTCTGGGGATGGGGGTGAAACGTCAGGAGAGAATGCTCCTGCAACATGGCCAGGCAGGCCGGAAAACTCAACCCTGGGATTCCGGCCCGGAAGGCCTTTGATCAGGCAAGGCACTCTTTCCCACCATCGAGTTTTGGATCAGGTGGTTTCCATATTTACATTGGGATGTTTCAACTTTGTGTTTAAGTGTTTAAGTGTCTCGAGCGAGTGCCGATGTTTTGCAGTGTTAATGAATTTAATGCATACGCCATGCCAGTGTTTAATGCCGAAGGCTTTCATGGCCGGAATCCCTGGGTTGTGGTAGGTTTTTGTGCTGCGTGGCCATGTTCCAGAAGCATTCTCCCCTGATATTTTGCCTGCATCTGTGGCTATTTGGGCTTCTTGTATTTCATTTTGCTGTACTGTTATATTGGGCTTGGCCTCATGATAGTGGGCCCGAGTCCCCTTTGGGGAGATGGGGGCGGGGTATAAATAAAGATTATTATTATTATTTACAGAAAACCCACACACAGAGATAGATGTCTACATCAAAACTCCAACCATCATGCAAGTCCAAAAAGAAGCCTCATTAAAGCCTTGGCAGACCGCGCAAAATGAATCTGTGAAGCCCACCTCCTCCTCCAAGATGAACTGAACCACCTAAGCTGGGCTCCCCAGGCCGATGGAGACTCCCCCTCAGGCATCAGGAGAGCTGCAAGACCACCGAGAAGAAGCCACGAGAGTCAAGATGAAGACCCACCCAGAGGAAAAGTGTTCTTGCCAGACATCAAGGGAACCACTGACCGCAGAGGGAAGCTGAGGAGGAAACACAACATACAAACTATCTCCAGACCCACCAAGAAAATCCAACAAATGTCTACGTTCAGCAAAGGACAAGAGGGACCCTCTCACCTCTGCAGGAGTCTACCATTGTATACCATGCAGCTGTGGACAAGAAGTCTCCAGAGGGACCACCAAACGCAGCAGCAGCAGCAGCATTGCCCAAACACGCATCAAGGAACATGAAAGGCACTGCAGACTACTTCAACCAGAGAAATCAGCCATAGCAGAGCACCTGGTGAACCAACCTGGACACAGCATTTTATTTGAGAACACAAATGCTGGACCACTCCCACAACCACTGTCAGACTACACAGAGAAGCCATTGAAATCCACAAGCATGTGGACAATTTCAACAGAAAGGAGGAAACCATGAAAATGAACAAAATCTGGCTACCAGTATTAAAAACTCTAAAATTACAACAGCAAAACAGCAGAGAGGAAACAACCAGGCACATCTTAATACCTCTCAACAAAAGATTCCTCCAGGCTCAGCCAGGCCTTCAAATGCTAATGAAGGTGGTCAGCTGAAACATTCACACCTAGCTCCAGCAGAGAAGAGCTCTTTGTCCCACCCTGGTCATTCCACAGATATATAAACCCATTTTCCTAATTCCAACAGACCTCACTACCTCTGAGGATGCTTGCCATAGATGCAGGCGAAACGTCAGGAGAAAATGCCTCTAGAACATGGCCATATAGCCTGAAAAAACCCACCTAGTGATTCCAGCCATGAAAGCCTTTGACAATACATCATCATCATCATCATTATTATTATGGAAGACATCCTCACAACCTCTGGGGATGCCTTTAGCCAGAGATGGAGGCGAAACGTCAGGAGAGAATGCTGCTTCTGGGACATGGCCGGGCAGCCCGAGAAGCCTGCCAGTTGGGATTCCTGTTCCCTCCTGACTCAGCTGCAGAGGCAAAAGCCAGAGACCGAGAATGGGGGGCCAGGAGGAGGAGGAGGAGGAGGAGGCCTGGCTGGAGAGTCCTCTCGTGGGGAGGAAGATAAACACGAGCCAGGGACGTGACCGACCGGGAGATGTGGGCTCTGAGCTGGAATCCTGTGACTCCATTGGCCCTGGGTCTGGAGGACAAGCCCTGTGAGGAGCGGCTTCAAGAGCTGGGCATGTGGAGCCTGCCTTGAGTCCCCCCGCACTCCAGGGGGCGAGAGAGAGAGGGGAGGAGGAGGAGGAAATAACTCACACCCAGGGGGCCCCTCCCTCTCTCCCACTTCCGGCCCCAGAGGAGTGGGCGGGCCCAGGGGTAGCCCCGCCCCCTCCCCTCCCTCCCTCCCTCCCTGTTGCCGGGCAGACTTGGCCTTCTCCGCCGGAAGTGCCCCTCCCTCCCTCCCTCCTTCCTTCCTTCCCTCTTTCCTTTCTTCCGCCGAGCTCGGAGGGAGAGGAGCGGGCTCCAGGTGAGGAGGAGGCGGAGGGGGAGGGGGGCGGTGCTGGGGGCCAGGGAGCAGGCTTCCTCCCGGCTGCCTCAGGCTCTGCCTCTCAGCGGGATTCAGGGAAGGCCGGGCCCAGGGGAAGGGCCGGGTCTGCAGAACAAGCCCCGTGAGGAGCGGCTGAAAGACCCCCCGCCCGGGCAGGTTGGCCTGCGGGAGAGCAGAGGAAGCCTACAGTTGGGAGGAGGAGAGGCTGCCCACCAGGGGCCGTCTTGCAGCAGCCCAGCCCAGCCCCATTCTGCCGAGAAGCGGGAAGGCAGAGAGTTCCACTGCTGAACAGCTCTTCTCACAGTCAGGAAGAGTTCTTCCTCGTGTTCAGGTGGAATCTCCTTCCTTGTAGTTGGAAGCCATGGCTCCATTGCGGCCTAGTCTCTCTCCAGGGAAGCAGAAAGGAAAGCCAGCGCCCTCCTCCCTCTCACGTATTTATTATTATTATTATTATTATTATTATTATTATTATTATTATTATTTTATTAACTTTATTTGTACCCCGCTAGCATCTCCCGAAGGACTCGATGCAGCTTACAAAGGCCAAGGCCTCAAAAACATAGCAGAATCAAAGAGTTGGAAGACACCTCCTTGGCCACCCAGTCCAACCCCATACTGCCAAGAAGCAGGAATATTGCATTTAAATCACCCCTGACAGATGGCCATCCAGCCTCTGTTTAAAAGCTTCCAAAGAAGGAGCCTCCACCACACTCCCTCTGGGGCAGAGAGTTCCACTGCTGAACGGCTCTCACAGTCAGGAAGCTCTTCCTCAATACACAACATAACAATACAACACCTAAAGCAAATTAAAAACAGTTAAAGCAATATTAAACAACAGCAATAAAACAATACTCCGATACACCATTATCCCCGGCCCTCCTCGTGTCTCCCCTCCGCCTTCTCGTCTTCAGGCTCCACATGCCCAGCTCTTGAAGCCGCTCCCCACAGGGCTTGTCCTCCAGACCCAGGGTCATTTGAGTCGCCCTCATTCTCTGGACACAGGATTCCAGCTTAGAGTCCACATCTCCCGACCACGTTCCTGGCTCATGTTTATCTTCCTCCCCACGAGAGGACTCCCGGATCTTTGCCACGCGTCCTGCTCTCGAGCCAGGCCTCCTCCTCGCCCCCCATTCTCTGTCTCTTTGCATTTCGTTTTTTGTGCCCGAGTGGGGTCTCTGGCTTTTGTCTCTGCTCGATGAGGGCCAGGGATCCAGAGGGGAGGGAGAGAGACCAGGATGCGAGGGAGACGTGGCTTCAAACGACAGGAAAGGAGATTCCACCTGAACATTAGGAAGTACTTCCTGACTGGAGAGCTGTTCAGCAGTGGAACTCTCTGCCTCAGGAGTGTGGTGGAGGCTCCTTCTTGGAGGCTTTTAAACAGAGCTGGATGGCCTCTGTCGAGGGGTCCTGAGAAGGGCTCCGAGGGCGCCCCCCCCCCCCCCGGCCTCTCCCAAACCTGGGATTCTCGTATTCCGGGAGAGGAGGGGGAGGGCTTCCCTTCTTTATTTATTGACCTTTATATTTATATCCGGCCTTTCTCTCCCCCCCCCCCCCAGGCGACTTGCAATTGCCCCTCCTCCTCCGTGGGGCATACAATACAACATAAAACAAGGTCAGCTAAAAACATAACTTGAAAATGAAGACACACAATGAGCAGAGTCCAAACCCCTTTCAGGGAGTCCCATCGTCCAGAGTCCTGGTCTCAAGGCCCGTCCGTAGCCCAATGGCACCTCCAGTTGCCTGCCTCACTCCCATGGTCAGTCCATCCTCTCCTTTGCCACCCCGCGTTCTTGTCTCCTGAGGAACCCCCACCCCAGAATGCGAAGGGGGGAGGGGCTGCTGCTGGGAGTGGGAGGCCTGGGGGGGAGGAGAGGGGGGAGAGGTTGCCTCCCTTCCTTCCTGGTTCATTGATTTATAAACAAAAGCCAATGTGAACTTGGAGTTCGCTCAAACAGAACCCTCAAAATCTTGGGGTGAAGCCCCCCGTTCCCCGTCAGCAGAAAGTGTGGGCAGCAGGCGGGCCTCAAGGCCGCTCCCGGGCACACCATCTCCCCGAGATCACCCCACGGTTTCCAATTCCCGTTTCTCCTCCAGTGACCCCTTGGCTCCTCTCTGTTCTGGACCTCCCCCACAATCCCTGTTCCGGAAAGGCCTTCAACTCCCTCATCTAAAATGGCCAGCTTGGCTCTTGTTCTTAGACAGCTTTCTAACCATTAGTCCTGAAGGTAATATGTACAGTTTGAAACACCCCCCCCCCCTCGCCCCAACAGTATGCCAGGTAGTAAAACCACAACCAAGAGCGCAGCTGTTCCACCTCCTCCCACATCAGCCATTTTCGACCAAAGGCCCTTCTGCTGAAACCTCAAAACGAGGGAGGGAATCCCACCACTTCTGGGGGAAGGTCTCCTGGAAAGGGGCGCATCCGCACTTCAGAATTCATGTGGTTTGGCACCCTTTTAACTCTCATGGCTCCACGTTATGGGATCGTTGGAGCCGTAGCTGGCGATGCACCAGCGCTGTTTGGCAGGGGAGGCCTTGTCACACCGCAACTCCCACGATTCCACGGCATCGAGCCACGGCCGTTCAAATGGTGCCAGGCTGCGTTCGTTCGTTCGTTCTCCAGGGCCGAGGCCCCTCCGTGCCGGAGGAAGGCAACGCAAACGCAGTTCCTCTGGACAAAATACAGCCAGGGAAAGGGATGGCGTTGTGGCCGCCAGTCAGGGCTGATTCCACAAAAACGTATCTAGAGGCTCTGTGTGAGATCCCTTCAGAGAGACAAAGGCGGAAACAGCTTCCAAGGGGCTTTGTGGCCCCAAAGGGACCCCCCCCCCCCGATCCTCCTCCGAGAGGCGCACAGCAAACGGGGAGGGAGGGAGGGAGGGAGGAAGGAGGGAAGGGAAGGGAAGGGAAGGGAAGGGAAGACGGGGCGTAGCCGCGCCCTCACTTGGCGGCACCCACAAATATAATCGGCATGCCTTCCTTTCCGTCATCTCAGCCCTTTATAAAGATCCTGAACCCCGTCTTCCTTCACTTCACACCCTAGAAAACCCAGCAGGGCCTGGGGGTCTCCCGCAGCCACGTTTCCTCCTCACAGAGTCCAGGGAGAGACCCCCTCGCTGGCTCCATCCTTACCTGCAATCCTTAACGTGTGCGTCCACGCTGCAGGGCGCCCAGAGCCTGCCATTTCTTTAACAGCCGTGGCTTAATGCTATGGAGTCATGGGATCTGTAGTTTTGAACTGTGAATACGGGATTTTCACTGTGAATTTTAAAAATACTGTTGTGGCTGGCATGACTGCATGGAGCACCGTTATCTTCCCGCTGGAGTGGTACCTAGTTATCTACTCACATTTGATGTTTTCAAACTGCTAGGTGGGCAGAAGCTGGAGCTAACCACGGGCACTCATGCCGCTCCCCAGATTCGAACCTGCAACCTTTCAGTCAACAAGTTCAGCAGCTCAGTGGCTTAACCCGCTTTGAATTACAGTTTGTGAATTCTTCTGTTGTAGTTTTCCAGGTCTCGTTTCTTAGTGTTCCATCTTTAGCCCCTGTAGGTTCCAATCATACAATTTCATTCAGTGTCATTCAAGCCACAGATTTTCATTTATGTATTTATTTCAGTTACTTCTACCCCGCCCTTCTCACCCCCGAGGGGGGACTCAGGGCGACTTACAAAGGAAGGCACAATTGGATGCCTGTGTCAAAAATACATACATACATACATAAAAGCAATTAAACAGTTAACAGGTTAAAAACATCAGTACATAACACAATAGTAAACAATCTCATGGTCAGTGTTCAGAGTTCCATAAATCCATTCCGTTCCGTCAATTCCTGCCCATCATCAAGGTCTTTCCTTTAGCCGCCAGAATGTCCAAAAGCCTGGTCCCACATCCAGGTCTTCAACTTTTTTCTGAATGACAAAAGGGAAGTCGCTGATCTAATCTCCCCGGGGAGTGAGTTCCACAGGTGAGGGGCCACTACCGAGAAGGCCCTGCTCCTCGTCCCCCAGCCTCACTTGTGATAGAGGCGGGGTCGAGAGCAGGGCCTCCCCAGAAGATCTTAGGCTCCGAGGTGGGACGTAGAGGGAGATCCGTTGCACTGCAATACGTTCATATATTCCTCACAGAAACATCTGGAGGGCATCAGCATTCCCGCTGGCCCTGGGGTCCGTCCATCCCTCGGTCTCCGCTGTCCTCCTCCTCCTCCTCCTCCTCCTCCTCCTCCTCCTCCTCCTCCTCCCAAGTGCTGCTTCTAGGCCGAGTGCCCGCCGGCCTCTGCTTCTGCGTGCCTATCACTCCTTTGCGACCAAAGTGTAGAATTTCGCATTTGCCTTAGTGTTTCACATTATCTGCCTCTAATTGCATCCCTTTGTGGTACAGGTTTTGTAAGAATGCAGTCCATCAAGGAAGCTCTACGGCCTCTCTGGGCTCTCAGTCTGTCTCCAGGTGCCTTGCTCTAGGAAGGCGGGGCAGGGATCACGCTGCAGCGATGGAGAGGGGCAGGAGCACATCTTTTTCTTGAGTTGGGAGAAATCCATACAAGGGAATCGAGTGTTTTCCTCCCCAACCTGATCACTTGGGGTGGTCTGTGTACACGTGGCCACTCAGGATCTCTTGGGAGGTTAGGAGGCAGGAAATGCTTTGGCAGCCTTAACCCCTTTCTCTGCTAACCGTATTGTAAGATCTCTTCCTTTGCAAAAGTTGATTTAAACTTAACATATTGCAGTGCAACAAGTCTCATGCTTGGAATCTTGGGCCACTTGTGTATCTATTAGAGATTGTTCTTTGTTGGGCAGGGGCTAAAGCACGTCTTGCCAGGAATTGGGCTCCTATCCATTTGTAATAGCACTACGCAATCGTTCTTCGTACCCAGTGAGATCTGTTTCTGTTAACTCCTTGTTTTCCTCTCGTCTGTCCGGCAGGTAGTCTCTGAACAAATCTTGTGAAGAACACCTTGTGAGAGCTTTGCTCTGGGGATACTCTAGGTCTGAAGTGACTTGAAGCTACACACCACTGACAAGAAATAAGTAGGAGAAAGATATATGTCAAGCTGCATGCTTGCGTAATCAAGGAGGCAAGGGAGGGTTGTACTGTTAAAAGTGAGCCTTGGGGAGAAGACCAGAAGACCAAGAAAAGGAAATATTGTGCTGTTTAGGAGTACTTTCATGCTTCTTGGCAGGAGTTGGACTTGATTGTTCACAAGGTCTCTTCCAATTCTATGATTCTATGAAGTATCTATGAACTTCTGGCAGAATATTTGAATCACAGATTTAAAAGAATGGAAAAGCCTCTTCATTCCTGTTCCACATCACACACAGGGGGGAAGCAACATAAGTGTATGGACTGTGGGAAATGTTTCCTTAGGAAAGGTTCTCTTACTAAACATCAACGAACTCACACAGGAGAGAAGCCATATCAGTGCATGGAGTGTGGAAAGAACTTCCGTCAGATGGAACACCTGCATTCCCACCAAAGGATCCACACAGGAGAGAAGCCATATCAATGCATGGAGTGTGGAAAGAGCTTCAGTCTGAGTGGACATCTGCGTTCCCACCAAAGGACCCACACCGGGGAGAAGCCACATAAATGCTTGGAATGTGGAAAGAGCTTTAGTGACAGTGGAGCCCTACGTTCCCATCAAAGGACCCACACAGGGGAGAAGCCATATCAGTGTGTGGAATGTGGAAAGAGCTTTAGTCTGAGTGGAGATCTCCATTCTCATCAAAGAACCCACACAGGAGAGAAGCCATATCAATGCATGGAATGTGGAAAGAGCTTCAGTCAGAGTGGACATCTCCATTCCCACCAAAGGACCCATACAGGGGAGAGGCCACATCAGTGCATGGAATGTGGAAAGAGTTTCAGTCGGGGTGAGTCCCTGCGTGCCCACCAAAGGACACACACAGGGGAGAAGCCATATCACTGCATGGAATGTGGAAAGAGCTTCAATAGGAGTGGACATCTGCGTTCCCATCAAAGGACACACACAGGGGAGAGGCCACATCACTGCATGGAATGTGGAAAGAGCTTCAGTAGGAGTGAACAACTGCGTTCCCATCAAAGGACACACACCGGGGAGAAGCCACATAAATGCATGGAATGTGGAAAGAACTTCAGTGACAGTGGGACCCTGCGTTCCCATCATAGGACCCACACAGGGGAGAAGCCGTATCGGTGCATGGAATGTGGAAAGAGTTTTAATCTGGGTAAAGATCTCTGTTCCCATCAAAGGACCCACACAGGGGAGAAGCCATATCAATGTGTACATTGTGGAGCGAGCTTCAGTCAGAGTGGGCATCTCCATTCCCATTATAGGACCCACACAGGGGAGAGGCCACACCAGTGCATGGAATGTGGAAAGAGCTTCAGGTACAGTGGGTCCCTGCGTTACCACCAAAGGACACACACAGGAGAGAAGCCATATCAATGCATGGAATGTGGAAAGAGCTGCAGTGACATTGGGTCCCTGTGTTCCCACCAAAGGCTACACACAGGGGAGAAGCCATATATATGCATGGAGTGTGGGAAAAGCTTCAGTCGCAGTGGGGCCCTGCATTCCCATGAAAGGACCCACACAGGGGAGAAGCCATATCAATGCATGGAATGTGGCAAGGGTTTTAGTCTGAGTAAAGATCTCTGTTCTCATCAGAGGACCCACACAGGGGAAAAGCCATATCAATGCTTGCAGTGTGGAAAGAGCTTCGGCCAGAGTGGACATCTCCATTCCCATCAAGGGACCCACACAGGGGAGAAGCCACATCAATGCATGGACTGTGGAAAGAACTTCAGTCAGAGTGGGTCCCTGCGTTGCCACCAAAGGACCCACACAGAGGAGAGGCCATATTAATGCCTGTAGTGCAGAAAGAGAATCAAAGAAAGTTCAGCATGCATTCAACATGAAAGAACTCGTCCCTGCCTAGAGGAGGAGACCTGCCTTTGAGTGTCCTAGTTCTGTTTAAAAAATGCCCAGGCAAGGGTCCCGTCTCTCCATAAATGGGTGAAGAATGGAAAGAAGGAGGCAGGTGGAGACCTTGCTCTCTCGTGGACAGCGGTTTGTGTTGCCTGGCTTGACTGCTGCTGGGGGGACTCTTCTCAGGATTAACCCAAATCTTCCTCCTCAGGAGCATCACAGGCTTCTGGCATGCTGTGTGAAGGCCTGTTGAAATGAGCAGCAGCTGAGATCTCATGATAAAGGGGTTCTGGAAAAAATAGCTCTTTGGGAGAAGACAATCTTTGTACTGTTGTCCCGGATCTTGGCTCTGCTTCTCCTTGGTTAGAATTCTGGACTCTGGTCTTGTTCTTGTAACCTTGTTCTGGACTCTGTTGTGTCCTGAATCTTTGACCCTAAATTTTAAATTTACTTCCCAGCTTGAGTTATGGGCTTGGGCTTCAGTTTGTACCTCCCACGATCTGCCTTATTTTGGAACTCTGACTTTGGCTTGTACTCTTGGATTCTTGGTGGTTATTTGATGGAAGGACTCGTGGCACCGATTGGACTGTAATCTTAGTTCTTGCTTATTCTGGCTCCTGCCCTGACTCCGCAGTACTGGGCTTGCCTCCATGAAGTGGACTCTTTAACTCGGTTTGTGTTAGGAGAGGCTCAGAACACTTTTGCTCTGTGTATATTGATTTATCCCTGCTTAGAGTGAACTCCCTGTAGTATTTGAGACTGTTCAATCACTACCATTGGGGAAAGGCCCATTAGGATACACAGCATCTCTTCTCCATCCCTAACCGAGGAGAAGGGAAGACAAATAATGATGGCAATGGCTGATGACGATTAATGACTCTGTGTAAGACTGGAGGTTTTATATAGCAATATTAAATGATCACTCACAAGCTGGCTTTGCTTTGAAATGAATATATTGCTTGTATCTCCGCAGCAAAGAAAGACGCTACTGACTTTTCCCCACCACCACTTCCTTTTAGACACCTTTCCTGCCCACCTCCCCCTCTTCTCAGTTTCCTTATTAGAGCTTGTTGCTTCACAAGTTCCCATACAAGGTTTCCAGAATCCTTTGCTGGCTTCAAAATGTCACAGAGAGAGAATTGATTCAGTCAGGATGTCAGGAGGGAATTTGTGATGTCTTCATGCCGTTGGAAATTGACTTGTTGTGAAGGGAAATATTTGTCCAACTGAAAGCAAGATCGGGTCCTACTAATTTACTAGTTACAATAATGAGGGGTATTTGTTTATTGTGGGTTTTTTGAAATTAGTCTAATATTTTTTTAAACGGCAGGGTAACTATAAAATATAATGTAAAGTGAGTAAATAGAGATAGAAATCTGTTTTGTTCTTACTATGTAGGTGTGTGTGTTTTGTAATTTTTATACACATGTTTTTGTTTTTGTTTGTTTTTATCTTTGAATAGAAATTACTATTTTTTTTAAACCGACGGAGTGTGATGTAGCAGCTGTAAATGCCCGTGTCATTCAGGGCAGAGTGACCGGCTCCAGGGAAGTCCGAGCCCACTTGTGGTGGACATTGTGCTGCAGAACAAAAATGGCTTTTGCTAAGCATGCTGGGCTCAGATTCCAGTAGTTAATGAGTTAATTCCATAGAGAGGTAGAAAGGGCAGAGAAGTCCATTTCCTGTTTAGAAGTGTGATGCAACTTCCTGGGTAGTTCTTGCCATCGCCGTGTTTGGACCTGTTTTTCTGCCGGTTGTTGACCGGGGCAGTTTGTAAGTTTTGAACTGTAAATAATGTATCAATAAAGATAAGAGCCATTCTCTTTTTTGAACTGATGACGGCAGAGAGTGGACTGATTTATTGATATATTGATTGCTGGTGCTCTTGAGCAGGCGCGTGTGGAGTGGAGGAGGAGGAGGAGGAGGAGGAACAACAACAGAGGGAGGCAGGGTTTGTGGCGCTGGGTCCCCTGATCAGAACATCCACACCACTCTCTTCTGCTTGGTTCAGGTCTCGCCTGGAATAACTGTGTAACGGGATGTTCTGGACAACTCAATTCCAGAAGGATAGTGACAGGCTAGAACTTCTCCAGGGAAGGTCTGTAAGGAATGGCTGAGGGCGCCGGGTGTGTTTAACTTGGAGAAAAGAGGGCGGAGGAGGGAGGGGACGTGAGAGCCAATACTGGGAAGGATGTCCCATTGGGGCAACCTTGATTTCTGCCGCTCTTGAGGCTGAGGGACTTGAGGAACGGGTTCAAATTGCAGGAAAGAAGATTCCACCTAAACCAGGCCTGCTCAATCGGAGGGCGGAATGAGGCTTGCAAAGGCATTTGCAGCACCTGCAAGCATGGAGTGCCCAGCTCTCTCCCAGCCGTTCCCACGAGGAGAGCATGAATGAGACTGGGGAGAGGGAAGGGCTTCTCTCTTGGCAGGCCAAGGACTGAGGGGGAAGCCCAGGCCCCTCCCCAGTCTGGTGCCATCCCATGGGAACCCTGCAAGGCTGAGTAAGGGCTGAGTTCCCCTTGGCATGGAGGGAGGATAAGGCCACCCGGGACAAGCTGCGCAAGCCTCACCTAAACAATAGGAAGCATCTCCTGGTGGGAAGAGCTGTCTGGCAGTGGAGTATACTGCTACCTGAGAGTCCATAAGAGTGGAGGGTTTTAAGCACAGACATCATAATAATAATAATAATAAACACTGTTCTACAAATTTTCAGTTTTTCTCAGTTTCAGAAACGAAATGTGCCGTTTCTTAATAAATTTAACATGCTGAATTCAAATATAATAATTAAATGTGTTAATTGGCTCTGGTTTTTATGCAACAGCTATTTCAATTTTCTCCACAATAGGTAATTCGTTAATATTATGATAATGCGCCTAACCTTACTGCATGTATATAAACCGTGAATATTTACTAAATTTTAGTCAAATTATATTGCCAATAGTTTATACATGAGAAATATTTATTTAATTCGTCTATTGTTTATGTTTGTGCAGCAAGAAACTATATTAGTAGGCCTAATGCAGTTGAAAAGTCTGAAAGTTTAAATGTCGCTTTAATCGTGACTTTAGTTTATATCCTGTTTGCTTCTCTTGACTTTTCTTTTGTATTCAGGGAAAGGATTCCCTCTTACAATGCTCCTGCAGGAGTCTGACAGCATTGACGGAGTCCTTTTGCCTTGATCTCTTTTTTCCATAGGGCCTTATTGACACACGTGCGAGGAGGCATCACTACAGTCAAAAGACCAATGTAAAACGATGTTTAACGAGACTGTCTCAGTCTTCAACTGACTGACCCTCACCGTTCAAAAGTCTGGCCTTATAGAGGGCTTTCTGGCTTTTGCACACGGCATTTATACTGTGTCATCAAACTTTCTAGAATATTCTAGAATCTTCCATAGTGTAAGTCGCAACATGCATTTTTTCAACCATACGTGATCACGTGATTGCTTATATCATAAAAACTAGAGCCAATATACATTTTTAAATGTCATTTTCATTTTCAGCACCCCAAAATCATAAAAGAACAACTATTTTCAGGCCCGCAACTTTCTAGAATCTTCCATAGTGTAAGTCGCAATGCATTTTTTCAACCATACGTGATCACGTGATTGCTTATATCATAAAAACTAGAGCCAATATACATTTTTAAATGTCATTTTCGTTTTCAGTACCCCAAAAATCATAAAAGAACAACTATTTTCAGGCCTGCAACTTTTTCTCCATTGAACAGTGTAATCCTAGAATCAAAGAGTTGGAAGAGACCAACTCCTGGGCCATCATCCAGTCCAACCCCATTCTGCCAAGAAGCAGGAATACTGCATTCAAAGCACCCCCGACAGATGGCCATCCAGCCTCTGCTTAAAAGCTTCCAAGGAAGGAGCCTCCGCCACACTCCGGGGCAGAGAGTTCCACTGCTGAACGGCTCTCACAGTCAGGAAGTTCTTCCTCGTGTTCAGATGGAATCTCCTCTTGAGGAAGAACTTCCTGACTGTAATAATAATAATAATAAATATAATGAACTTTATTTATACCCCCGCCCCCCCATCATCTCTCAAAGGGACTCTGGGCAGCTCACAAAGCATTCAAAGGTGCAAACACACAAAATACAACAAGTGTCAAAACAGTAACATAAAACAATGAATAACATAAAACATCACAACGTCACAATGCCCCCTGGTAAAAATCATTAAAATACAGCACTAGCTGCAGGTAAAAACAGCAATCAATCTCAGTCTTGTAAAGTGCTTAATAGAAAAGTTATAGGACCTGACATATATTCATTAAAGGAATCTAAATATGGTCAAAGGCTTGATGTAAAAACCATGTCTTCCTTTGTGTACGGAGGGCTTGGAGAGCGGCAGCTAGCCTGACCTCTTTCGGGAGGGCATTTGGGAGCCGGGGGCCACCACCGAAAAGGCCCTCTCTCTTGTCCCCACCAATCGCGCTTGAGACGGAGGTGGGACTGAGAGGAGGGCCTCCACAGAAGATACTAGTGCCCGTGCCAGTTCATAGAAAGAGATGTGATCTCGAAGATAGATTGGACCCAGTGCAGTCTGGCTTTAGGTTGGGACATGGAACCGAACAATCTTGGTTGCCTTAGTGCAGTGGTTCTCCACCTGTGGGTCCCTCCCCAGATGTTTTGGCCTTCAACTCCCAGAAATCCTAACAGCTGGTAAACTGGCTGGGATTTCTGGGAGTTGTAGGCCAAAACACCAGGGGACCCACAGGTTGAGAACCACTGCCTTAGTGAGTAATCTACTCCAGGAACGGGACGAGGGGAGCACGTTCCTGTTGGTTCTGCTGGACCTCTCGTCAGCCTTCGATACCGTAGACCACACCTCGCAGGGATGGGCCCTGGAGATACTATTCCAAGGGGGCTTCAGTCCTTCCTGGAGGGTCGTTTCCAGAAGGTGTTGTTGGGAGACTCCTGCTTGG